CATGTAGTCGCATGGTAGAAAGTATATGCAGTCGCACAAGCATCTACATTAGAAGAAGAAGGAGAAGGAAGCAATGCCAAAATGTGGATGAAACAAACTTGGAGACCAAAGTGAAAATAATTTCTATCATGCAGTCGCATCATAGAAAGTTTGTGCAGTCGCCCAAGCACCAACATGAGATGAACAGTGCAAAATTTTTATAACCATGCAGTCGCGTGGTTCATTTTGGGCGCGAATTTTTTTATTTCCTTATTTCAATTAAACACTTATGACAATGCATATAGGATTTCTTTATAACCCTAATCTCATCCAAAAAGGGGGAGGGGGGGGGGGGCATTTTTTGAGAGAAAAAACACATTGGAGAGTTAACAAGAAGGCGAGAACAAGGGTTTCATTCAAGATTCAAGATTTCAAGCCTAATTTCTAGTTTTTGGGTGATGTCTTCTCTTTACTATTTTTATTGGTCTTTTATTTTATCCATGTTAGGCTAGACTTTTATGTACTAGGTGAACGATGAACCTCTTATTGTGATCTTTTAATTTCTATTTTGCAATTTGATATTTAAACACGTTTGATGGATGTTGAATGATTTATATACACTTTCTTGCTTCCACGATTATAGTGCACGATAATTGTGTGAGTTTGGGTAGTTTATTTTATGCATTCAAAAGAAGGAAAATAAACTCAACAAGGTATAAATCATCGTAGGGTTCATAGGGATAGAAATATACCGCTATACTTTACGCGAATTTATGAGTGTTTACAAAACGTAATGCATTCTTGTATATTGCATTTGTCATAGAAATATAGTCAAATGGTATGCTAGAATAAGTTCAATTCTACTCGAAAGAGATTGTTGGATAAGTTAGAAACATTGATTTTTCAACCAATTCATCGTATTATCAAATTGTAAAATAGGGGTTAAAAGGGAACTTTGATGCTTTTTCATACATTAATTTCATTCAAATCGTTTGCATTGAAACGTCATTTTTGCATTTAAGTCGTAATTTTAATTTAATTTGCATGTTAGTTTTAGTTTAATCATAGAAACTAAAAAACCCATCTCAAATTTAATAGATTCGGTTAAGATCGTGATAATAAAAATCAAGTTAAATCAATCCTCGTAAGAACGATACTCGAAATTCTAGGATTTCCACTTTATTACTTGTGAACAATTGTGTACTTGCGGTTATTTAAATCCGAAACATATTTTCGTGAACAAGTAGTGTTGAATGTCTATTTAATCACGTCTTTCTTCATGATATTTGATATATTCCTTTTTTGATTGAGATTTCTACACTATCATACTTGTCCAACCTCAGTTGATCAATCCTCTCAGATGACTGGTACGTTGGGTATAAAGTGAGGAATTTGTTGAAGGCTTCCTGGAGCCGCAGAATAGAGTCTGTAGAATGAGCAAGAACATTGGCTCTTAGGAATTCTTTCTGGGCATTTAAACAAACCTGTTTTAGGTTGCAGAATCCTACACAAGCAGCCAGAGTTGAATCAAAAGTTTTCACAAACGAAAGCAAACTCGCTTTACCTTTGTCCCAAAAAAAGAAGCAGCAGGAATTAAACAACTAATCATATCCCAGAAATCGAAAATCAATTTCACACAGTTTAGATCAAATAGATGGTAAAGGATGCAACAAAACAACTGCAATGCATGATTATTTTTGTTCTCTCTTGTGCAGAGAGAAATACTGAACTGTTACAAATTTTATTTATCATTTTATTTACTTATTTATTATTATTATTTTTTATTTTAACTTGACGAGATGCTCCAGAGGAAGGGAACTAAGATTGATAAGGTGCTAAATTTCGCAATTGATTATACAATTTTGGAGGAGAGGATTACTGGTTATGTTTGCATTTTTCCATTTTTTCTCTTATTATTTTTAACTGCCTATTTTAAGCCAATTTCAGTATTTGATGTTACTTCTTTGTAATTTTGCAAGAGAAATATTTTATCTAATGTATATTCCTTTACATTTAAGTCATTTTCTTTGCCACGTTTGCCTTTAAGAAATGCGGACGAGATGACTGGGCTATGGAAGAATCAAAGGGATCTAGAGACATGAAAGGATTGGGGCTCATTACTTCCCGAGAACATACTTGACTTGAGTATTTTAAAAAATATATTTTTTCTAATAAATAGAAGCAGGTATAGTTAATCGCTTTCAAGTCGATTGAGGCATCTGATCCCTCTCCTAGGATACCAGGAGGCAAACCAAAAAAAATCTGAGGAGACACATTGAATGATACAATAAAAGTTGGATTATGCAACCTGACTGAGGAAAAATTCCATTGAACTTAGATTCCACCACCAACAAGCAATTCAGAAATAATAACATTCGTACTGAAAACAAGAAAAGAAAGAGGGTCGTTCAGTTCTACAATTTAGAGAAGTAAAATCTTCTGAAGCTGAAGACACCTTGTTCATTGTTTATGATATGCGGCCCAAACACAAGCAAAAATTAATCTCTTTCATTGTATGTGGATGTATTGAAGTTTGGTTTAGGTTTTGTTATTCAAAAACATCTAAGAACTTAATTTTTTTCTACCTTGTCTTCTCAATAATTATATACTTTGCCAACAAAAAATGATTAATTCATTTAAATTTGGTTGGTGTAGCAGGTGATATTGGTCTTTTAAGTTGCACAAGATCCAAACCACATAAAGCAGTGGTAAAGCAGGATAATTCTCTATGGAGCCTCAGAGGTCCGAATCCCAGCAAGAATTGGAATGCAAGATTTATGTTGGAAGTTAGATATCCTTTGGAAACAAAGTTATGGTGCGTTATGCCACTCCTCCGGGAGTCTCGTCCACACGTCGTAAAGGAAGGTCCACATGGAAGATAACCGCTTTTCACATGTCGGCTCAAGTATGTATAAGCTGTGACTACATCCGATTTACTCGGGTGGCGAACCAGGGGGAAGACCGCCACTCTTTAAGATTAGTCAAACAACGCTTGGACATCCAAGTCATAAAAAAACTGCTTCTTTTCACATTGGCACTAGGTTGCACAATAATCAACTGAATGAATTTACATTGGTTAAAAAAAGAAAGTAGAGGCAGAAGGCCAAAAGTCTAGTCGTGCAGAGATCCAAACAACGTATTTTGATTGAGGTGTGAAAACTGTTTTTTAATTGATGCAAGAGATTCCCTCATATTTTCTAGGATACCATTTGGAAATATTTAATTCGAATATTTTGTGGCCAAAAAAACCCAAAATAATAAAATAAAAAATAAAAATAGAGTTTCATCTCTCAAGTGTTGTTCTTTGAGTAGTTTTAATTTTTTGAGTTTTCCTGCTAATGTAAGTATCTTTAGCTTTTGTGACTTGTTGAGCTCTTGGTGTACTAATTATCTTTAGCACTATTTAGCTTCATCAAATTCTGCATAATTGCGACTATACAGTCACGGTCAACATACATTTATGATTAAAAAGGAAAAAAAAAAAAAAATTGGATTAACCTAGACTTTTGACAATATAATTGAAATATCAATATAGAAATAGTCTATTTTCCCCCTTGAACAAAAAATAAGCTCGCTCAAAAGAGACGTTCAAGGTATATAGGTCTAAGGTCAAATGATCGTGATAGATAATTAACAAGTGATTATCTAATAAATAATGATAGTGAATAGATCTATTTTGCACTATTTATTCATCAATTATTAAAAATCAATTTCAAAAATCACCACAAGGGAGATAGAATAATGAATGATTGTATTCTAGTTCTACCAACTACCATATGCATTCTTGATTTTCAAAAGGTATAGTTTGGGTATCTTCATCGTCATGTCATCTCAACTTTTTGTTGTCGAAATGTTCACCTCTTATGTTCCGTGATATACTTGTATTTCCTTCCTCGATTGACCTTATTTTTCTAATCTTTGTTGTTTGAATATTGAAAAGTTAAAAATTGTATCACTACATATAAAAAAGCTACAATTGTTTTGTTCAATGAAATATGAATGACATCTATATATAGTTGAGAATCAAGTTGGACTTTGAGAGAACGTCACAAATAGAGTATGGAGTTGTAGGGACATCACAAACCAGCAAGAAGTTGGGGATGGTGTCATTTTATTTTATGTTTTTCGTTTTCTATAGTTCTTTATTGAAATTAAGTGCTTATCCATTGTATAAGTTTAAAAAACAAAAAAAAAAAAAGGGAAAAAGGAAAAAACAATATTAAGGCAACAAAAAGCCATAGTTGGGAGACTAATATATATTGCCATAACAATTGAATCTTCACTTGTATTTTATACAAAAACAATATTGCCATAACAATTAGGTGATGACTTTTACTTTTTTAAAATATTAAGGATCGACTGGCGACAAAAGCCATAGTTGGGAGACTAATATCTAGCAGAATTTTGGCTTTGTAAAATGATATAGAGCATGTTTGAGTCTTATATTTTTGCCCAAAATGCATTTTAGAATAGTATTTTAATGGAGAAGATACGGTTAAAAAAACAAAAAAAGAATTTGAATTTACATGTAATATTATTTTATGAACCATGTTTGGTGTACATTATGGGTGACAGCCCCGAGTGGGGCCCGTTTTATTGAAAAACGTGTAAATGAAAATAAGACATAAAAAAACGTATTCTAAAAATAATGAAAACCAAACAATAACATAGTTTGATTAAAAGAATATAAAACTACATTTTATGACTATCTAAAAACTTTACATTATTATTATTATTATTATTAGGTGATGACTTATACTTTTTAAAAATAATTAAGGATCGACTAGCAACAGCCGCCATAGTTGGGAGACTAATATATAGCAAAAATTTGGCTTTGGGTCTATGAAAATTTACACTATTTGTCCTCAAACTATAGGGTTTGATTCTGAATATGTTATTTCGTCTTTTCCATCATCAGAATCCTACCCGAAACTGTCTCTCGCCCCTTCCGACTCGCTCTCCGCCTGCAGTTCTCCGGTAAGTATTTCTCTGGTTTTCGCTGCAATTATACAAGCACAAATATGGTGTTTATCAAATCCCCTGATAACAAAACCCTAGCTTTAGATCTAAGCCCAAATACTACCTCTCTTGAAGCTCTGACTCTACAAATTCAGCAAAATTACCGAATACCAGTTTCCCAGCAGCGCCTCTACTTGTCTCCCCGCCTGTTATCTCTCCCTCAAAACGCCGCGGTTTTGCTTTCCCAGCTTGGCGTTTCCCAAAACTCAACCCTAACCCTACACGTCCCGCTCATTGGCGGTATGCAAGCCCCGGTGCAACCCAAGGGTAGATTAGACTTTCTTAGTACGAAACCGCCGGCGAATTATGTCGCTGGACTGGGACGTGGTGCTACTGGGTTTACTACACGTTCTGACATTGGTCCGGCCCGGGCAGCACCTGACCTACCCGATCGCTCGGCTGCGGCTATTGGGGCTCCTGGGGCATCTGGTGTTGGCAGGGGACGTGGGAAAGGTCTTGGGGAGGAGGAAGAGGAGGAGGAGAACGAAGAGAAGGGGTATGATGAAAACCAAAAATTTGATGAGTTTGAAGGAAATGATGTGGGGTTGTTTGCATCTGCGGAGTACGATGACGAAGATAAGGAGGCTGACTCTGTGTGGGAGGCTATAGACCAAAGGATGGATTCACGTAGGAAGGATAGGAGGGAGGCAAGACTAAAACAGGAAATTGAAAAGTATCGTGCTTCGAATCCAAAAATTACGGAACAATTCGCAGATTTGAAGAGGAAGTTGCACACATTGTCAAGTCAAGAGTGGGAGAGTATCCCGGAAATAGGGGATTATTCTATGAGGAATAAGAAGAAGAGATTCGAGAGTTTTGTCCCAATTCCTGATACATTATTAGAGAAGGCGAGGCAGGAGAAAGAGCATGTGACCGCATTGGATCCAAAGAGTAGGGCTGCTGGTGGGACAGAGACTCCATGGGCGCAAACCCCGGTTACGGATTTGACTGCTGTGGGGGAGGGAAGAGGTACTGTGTTGTCACTGAAGTTGGATAGGCTTTCAGATTCAGTCTCTGGCTTGACGGTGGTGGATCCCAAGGGTTACTTGACTGACTTGAAGAGTATGAAGATCACAAGTGATGCAGAGATTTCAGATATTAAGAAGGCTAGGTTATTGCTCAAGTCAGTGATACAGACAAATCCTAAGCACCCACCAGGTTGGATTGCTGCCGCGAGGCTGGAGGAGGTGGCAGGGAAGATTCAGGCAGCCAGGCAGTTGATTGCAAGAGGGTGTGAGGAGTGTCCCAAGAATGAGGATGTGTGGTTGGAGGCTTGCCGTTTGTCGAGCAATGATGAGGCCAAGGCAGTGATTGCCAGGGGTGTTAAGGCTATACCAAATTCTGTGAAGCTGTGGATGCAGGCTGCAAAGTTGGAGCATGATGATGTGAATAAGAGTAGGGTGTTGAGGAAAGGACTCGAGCATATTCCAGACTCGGTGAGGCTTTGGAAGGCAGTTGTGGAGCTTGCTAATGAGGAGGATGCAAGGCTCTTGCTTCAGAGGGCGGTGGAATGTTGTCCGTTGTACGTGGAGTTGTGGCTTGCTCTTGCGAGGTTGGAAACTTATGAGAATGCAAAGAGGGTGCTCAATAAAGCAAGGGAAAAGCTTTCTAAAGAACCAGCTATTTGGATTACTGCTGCAAAGTTGGAAGAAGCTAATGGGAATACTTCCATGGTTGGGAAGATCATAGAAAGGGGTATTATGGCTTTACGGAAAGTAGGTTTGGAAATTGACAGAGAAGCATGGATGAAAGAGGCCGAGGCTGCTGAACGAGCTGGTTCTGTTGCAACTTGTCAGGCTATAATCCATAACACTGTTGGGGTTGGAGTTGAGGAAGAAGATAGGAAACGGACTTGGGTTGCCGATGCGGAGGAGTGCAAGAAGAGGGGTTCTGTTGAGACAGCGAGGGCAATATATGCTCATGCGCTTACTGTGTTCTTGACTAAGAAGAGCATATGGCTTAAAGCAGCACAGCTTGAGAAGAGCCACGGCACCAGGGAATCTCTTGATGTGCTACTGCGTAAAGCAGTCACTTACATACCACACGCAGAAGTTTTATGGCTAATGGGTGCCAAAGAGAAATGGCTTGCTGGTGATGTTCCTGCAGCTAGAGCAATTCTTCAAGAAGCATATGCTGCTATCCCAAATTCTGAGGAAATTTGGCTTGCTGCATTCAAGCTTGAGTTCGAGAACCATGAGCCTGAGAGAGCAAAGTTGCTTCTTGCGAAGGCACGAGAAAGGGGAGGCACAGAAAGAGTTTGGATGAAATCTGCAATTGTTGAGAGAGAGTTAGGAAACACTGAAGAAGAGAGAAGACTGCTGGATGAAGGACTAAAACTTTTCCCTGCATTTTTCAAGCTGTGGTTGATGCTGGGGCAGCTAGAGGAACGTCTTGGTAAGTTGGAGCAAGCAAAGGAAACTTATGAGTTGGGCTTGAAGAACTGCCCCAATTGTATTCCCTTGTGGCTTTCTCTTGCTCACCTAGAGGAAAGGGTGAATGGGCTAAGTAAAGCTCGAGCTGTTCTCACCATGTCTAGGAAGAAGAATCCTCAGAACCCTGAACTCTGGCTTGCTGCAATTCGGGCAGAGTCCCGACATGGCTACAAGAAGGAAGCTGATATTCTGATGGCAAAGGCATTGCAGGAATGCCCCAATAGTGGTATTCTCTGGGCTGCTTCAATTGAGATGGTGCCTAGGCCTCAGCAAAAAACTAAGAGCAGGGATGCATACAAAAGATGTGATCAGGATCCTCATGTCATAGTTGCAGTGGCTAAGTTATTTTGGCATGAGAGGAAGGTTGATAAAGCTAGGACTTGGTTCATCAGAGCAGTTACTCTTGCTCCAGATATTGGGGATTTTTGGGCATGGTACTACAAATTTGAACTTCAGAATGGTACCATTGAGACCCAGAAGGATGTATTGGAGAGATGTGTTGCAGCAGAACCAAAGCATGGTGAAAAATGGCAATCAATATCGAAGGCTGTGGAGAATTCTCATCAGCCAACAGAAGCCATCTTGAAGAAAGTGGTTGTTGCACTCGGAAAGGAAGAGAATGCTGCTGAGAACAAGAAGAACTAGTTTTCTGTAATTTGAATTTATCACTTTCCTGGTTTTTGGTTCTTGTAATGGTAGAAAGATAAATGTACCATGGTTACACTTTCTCAATATCTAGTCTTTCAAGGTACTTGGATACGTTAGCTGTAATTCATATTTAAATACAATTTCATGTTGGTTCACGTTTCGTCAATGGAGCTTTGACCTTTACATATTTTGATATCTGATGTGCTAGTTATCTTTTATTGCCTATATGTTTCTTGGATGATTAATGGTAACTAAATTTTGGTACGACTTACATGTCATAGTTGTACATGAATTGAAGTAATTTTCTACATAAATAAATAGATAGCATAACAATTAATGGTTTCATGATGATCTTGTAGATGCTTTTGTCGTGTAAGTGATTTCGTTTGTACCCTTCAATACAAGTTGCTTGCCTTGCTTTTCGAAAATAATGTCATGCAAGAGATGATCATCAAATTTTTGCCGACCCTGAACTTTGTAGTAGTTTAAAATTTGTGATAAGAGTGGCATAAATCTAATTTGTTAAGTTGATAGTTGTTCGCTTGTGGTATTCCGAAATTTTCTTGCCACTATTGTACCTATTAGTATCTCATTGGTGTCAGTTGTAAGGCATCACATAAAAAATTGTAATAGACAATGCTTCTCCCACTTTCTCAAATTGGCATGATATAGATAATTCATTCTATTTTAGTTCCAGATCATGAAGTTTATTAGACAATGAAATTTGTCATTGGAATAATTTATATATATCTTCATTTTCGACCTTAACTAGTTGCAGTATATGGTTTTTGTATTTCTGCTTCTTGTGGTGGAAGCTGCAGTGGCTGCAGATGTGTATCTCAACCACAACTGGAAGGAGGTGCGTGTGACCAAATTATGTCTCTTTTTTTACTTTAATATCCTGTGGATATTGTAATTTGAGTTATTGATTGTATTTAAATCTAGGTGGATATCATGACTTCCCGGATGATCCAACTGGGAATTTTAATCAGTTGAAGGACTTTGTCACACTGAACCTTGATATATATGCAAATGGATTGTCTTCACATTGGTGGCTTTGGAGGTCTCTCGCTGATCTCTGTCTTTCCTATCTCCTGCACCCGCACCTTCATACATATACACATAGACAATACATTGCACCATGACTATATTCTGTAATTTCTTATTGCAAATTTGCAATATTTGTTTTAGGATCAGTCTGACTAAGTTCCTCATGAGATCTGTGACTTCTGTCACTGTCTTCGACAATGTTGAATTTCTATGTTGCATAATTTCAGCTTATGTTTCCACGGTCCTTTTCCATTTTTATTATTTTTTCTGCTGTCAATTATCTCACAGTAATTCATTTACTTCTGAATTCTAGATAGTTCGGAACTTGAGATTCTGTTTTTATCGTGATAAATCTGGTTGTATTTATGCCTAGAGCAAGGATTGAAGATCCTACTTTTAATGCGCATAACTACTAGCTTGTAATTCCATTTTCCAAAAAAAAAATCCTGGATAGAAGATGTTGTAAACTTGTTGAGAGATCTTGGTTGAACTGGAACTTAACTGTAGAAAAGTTGGACTGTGACAAATCCTCAACTATTTCGTCATATTTCTCAACTTGAACTTAACTCTAGAAAATTTGAACTGTTATGTAACTCGTTAGGTAACTCTACCTAGCTTTTACATTACTTCCACTGTTATAAAGTAAAACTTCGATAAATAAATGTTTGATAAATTAATAATCTCGTTTAAATAATAAAATTCTTCTATCCTAACTTGGGTCAATGTATTAAATTAATAACTGGGAACAATATATCTCATACTTATAAGAATTACATTTTAAAATTAACTATGTTGATAAATTATTTCAAAATTCAGGTGTTAATTTGATCGGATGAGCGTCGTGTATTTCAAAATTCAGGTGTTAATTTCAATAAATATAATATATAATATACAACTTATATATATATATATATATATATATATCAATTTTATTTTTCTTTCTATATATAATTTAATTTAGAGATATATATACAATTTTACATATATTATATCCCCGCCCCACCCTAGATTTGTGACCAGATTTATTGTTTGTGATCAGATCTATGACCAGATTTGTCTTCAGTGTAATTATACCGTCTAATTTGTGACTGTATGTAATAAAGTCATTAGCATGTGTTATCTGTAATTAATTGTGACCAAATTTATCTTCAATGTGGCTGTTTGTGACCAAGTCAATCTTAATTGTGACAATATGTGATCAAGTTACAATCAGTCACAGTTTAACACAGAATTCGTCACAATCAATCACAATAAACACATAATTGGTCACGGAGGGTCACCACAAAAAAATCTGTATGCTAATAGATTAGATTTTGAATTTCATCACATTTTGAGCCCCTGTTTGGGCTCCATTTTAATGTGATTTTGGGAGAAAATGTATTTTGAAATAGTGATTTTTAAAAAAATATGTGGCTAAAAGATAGTGAAAAGTTTTCGATTTATGTATAATATTATTTTATAAAAGAATGTGTGGTCAAAAATAAGTTTTGAAAAAATGTATTTTGAAAATAATGAAGCCCAAACAAGGGCTCAATATGTTTTTTTTTTTTTAAGTTTCCTACATGTATTATGGTAAAATATAATACAAGTTATAAAAATATAAAATACTGTATAAATTAATAAATATTTATTTATCGATAAATTAATAAATTATTCATTTGTAGATAAATTAATAACCTCTCTAAAATAATAAATTTTTTCGGTCCCAACGTTATTATTTTATAGAGGTTTTACCGTAGATAATTTTTATTTTTTGCTTGTTATGGGAATGGATGGTGGTGTAACCTCTAGTTTATTGGGACTACCATTTTTCATTCCGTTGGCCTGGAAAAATGAAGCTTCTTCTTTGGGTAACCATGACTTGGTTTGACATAAAAAAGCTATTCTTGGATCTGTGTTTCAGCTCACGTTTTCTTTTGCTCTTGTTTTTTGGTTTCGCGGTGATTAGATGCGCACTGCCACATACCCCCCTGTATAAATTATGTGAACCAAATTCTGTAAGTGTAGTAAGGTTTCTTTCATTTTATGATTCTCTTTTATACGGTGCAAAGCTTATGATGACACTAATTTTTGTTTGGCAGGTAACTTTGTCTGGGAACTTCCTTGCAGCTGACATTTGATTGACAAGAAGTTGAATGCTGGATACAATAATCAGTGCTGATGATTTGAGAGTAGTTTTCTCAATCCTAGAGATTACTACTAGTGAGCCAATGCTATGGTTTTTGTGATCTATTGATGCGGGTTCTTATTTTAAAGAGTCACATTGATTAAAATCTTCACGGTATCTTGGGAGCCAGTGTAGATTTATTTGCAGTCCTATTTTTGGTACGTGAAGTTGAAGTGTGTATATTCGAAATTTTTTGGCATGCCATGAACGCTACTATCCATGCAAACTAATTGGAGTGTCACAATGCCGATGAAAGGATTTCGAACTTTTGGCATGATTCTCAAGTAGTTCATATGCTCACTAGGAATCTTACACCTAAAAGTGCTCCCTATATTTGGCTCATGTTCATAAATTGTCTCTAAACTTTCAAGTCATTATATGAGGAATAAGGTTACTTGTACATAAGTGGTCATAACATTAGTTTACATATAGATGGTCAATAGAGAGAGTGATTTTTTTTTTAATTGATTGAAGAAATTCTCTCTCAATCATATCTCATTACGTTATGTGTATGTAAATCATTATCACATAACAACTTACATAATAGTTTACTAATAGATGATGTAATGAAATATCATTTGATCAAAATTTCATCAATCAAATAACTTTCCCACTTACATTTTAATACATCATCATTATTTAAAACATTATGTAAATAGTTATGTACAACAAACATTTTCCAAAAGTAAATGATCAATTCGATTCAACTAAAATTTAAACAAGATCTGAACTCAACTATAGAAATAGAAGGAAGAGTTAACAATCAGGAAGAATAGGAGTCTGCTCCACAATTCTTATAATTTCTTATTCAAATTCACTGCCTTAGAAGGTAAATAGAGGGGGATTTTATACCCTTATTACAAACCAGAATTATTGCATATATAAACCTTATCGAACACACTTGAAGTAACGGAAAATAAAATATGAAATTGAACAGAATTATAGGACACATTTTCTTGTCTTCCAAACGGTGGCTTCAGTTCAGACTTCAGAGGGTCAACTTCCAGCTGAAACCAACATTTCTGCACTTCCTTCACTTTCTTCACTCTGCACCGACTCCTGTGGGAAATTTGATTTGCACAACCTCCCCATCAGTACCCCAGGCATCAAGCTATTTGACAAATCGAAAAATATCACAACAATTAGATTCAACAGAAGGAAGATTTTACATTTTTGGTCAAGCGAACTCTTGACTCAAAAATAATGGAACACTGTGAAAATAAATACATACCACAGCACCAATGCAAATCAGTAATTTCACATTTAAGCGGCGCTTTGGTCTATTCCAAGACCCTTCAGATTTCAAAACTTTTAAGGTTACCACGGAAGACTGAAGTTCAGCAACATATGTTGTCAACAAGTATTTTCCTTCAAGGTATTCATATCCATCACCATCATCTTCATAGAGAAAACCTTCAGCTTTACCTGTGCATAAAGAGAAACAATTCAATTCATTTAATAAAACCAACTACATAAACGAAAATATTATTTGTTTTTAACCTTCAACAGAAGTAATGATATGTGCCGGCAAAATATATAAAACAGCAAAATTACCATTTTCATCCAAAGCCACCAGCAGAGTGATGTCATCTGTGCGATTAGCTTCACCAACATGTTGATAAGGAGGAGCCAAAGGAATGATGGATCCTCCTTTTAGATACAAGGATGGCAAATCCTAGTACAACCAGAAGTAGGAAAAAAGTTAAAAGGCACAAATTATTGATAAAAAAAAAATCAGAATAAAATAAAAGGTCATATAATAGGTTTAGAAGTACCGGATGATAATCTTCAAAGTCAAAACTCATCCATATTCCTTTAGGCAACTTGCGCAGCAGTTGACTTGACACCTGATCTTCTGTGGTGCTGTGAAATCCAATACAGAACACAACAAAGCTTAGAAGAATAATACTTCCTATTGTAGCACCTATAGATTAAGTGAAAATTAATTAACAGAAAAATAAGAGGGAAAACTGAACTCGTAAAAGAAAGCATATTTGATTGCAATAAACGTATTATAGTTTGTTAATTCCAAACATTGAATCAACCATTGTCTTTAAGCTCAAAAGAGGAGAGAACCTGGCACATACAAGAAGTGGTCCCAACAAGAATGAATTTTCTTGTTTTCTTAACTCAATATCTTTGGGATCTGAAAAGGAATCTTAACATTAATGACCACCAAATACAGGCGAATGCACTGTAATGCAAATGTCAAGAAGTCCAGTTAATTGGCCATCATAGGAACTCACCAGCAAAAAAGGTTGGAGTAGCCACTGGGATACCCAGTGTATGTGCCAAGTAAAACAGATTATATATGTGAGGTAAAAGCTGATACCGCCTCCTCAATGCCAATCGACAAACTTCTTCACACTGAGAGAGATAAGATACTCGCACTTGAGGAAATGAAGAGTAGCAAGCAGTAATCTTAAAGCAAATGCAATGACAGCAATGTCATGAAAAATAATAACTAGTAAAAATTAGGTTGTATCTATAGAAATTCAGTTGAAATAGGATAATATTTTTTCTGTACCAGTACAAGAAGATAGCTTCAGCCAAACATAGACAGAGAAATATAATGCACAAGATATGATGTTTCTGGTAAAACTAAATCACTGATTTGCCACTTCAGGTGGCTTTTACATACTTTGAATTATAGGATTTGAGTTCGTGCTAAAATCCAGAGATCTAATAATAAAAAAAAGTTTTGGTATTTAGTTTCTTCTTTCATAAAATTCCATTATGCTCCTTTAAAATAAGAGAAACTATCTACATAGATTTATCAACTTCAAACAATTAAATGAAGACATAATGGAAAACTCAAACAGATTTAACCACCTGGAATGATCTAACTCTGACATGTTAAAAAAATTCAGGTAAAAGATGAGATGGAACTCAGTAGTTGAAGGGCCTAAAATGATTGTATATCACACTCCAGCATTTAATTTTGTAAGATACTTTTTACATATAAGTCACTGCCTCGTAAAAGAATTGATGCTTATAAAAAGGGTTCAACTAACTATAACACCATCTTTCACATCTGAATTTTTTTAATTAAAATCAGATTTTTAGTAGACTTCGATAAAAGTTGATGAAATGTGTGGCTAAAATTAATTGTTGACTTTAATTTGAAATTTTAACATGATTTTAATCTTCACACATGATTTTATTATACACTTATGTGTACCATATCATTGTAATGAGATCTATTGACAATGTTGACTCTATGCAAACAAAAATGCACGAGTTTCACATAGTCAATACACAAGTAGGGAACTTACAGAGGATAAACTATATTCTCACTTGCGACCTCTGCAGCATGAGTCAATTTATCCTAACTACGCAAAATTCTTGTAAAATTCATTCGAGGAAAAACTCACTTATGAAACTTCACTAATTTGTGAACAAAGGACCAACCTCTTTTCCGAAGGACCAAGGCTCATGATCAACGCTACGCTTATCAGAATGCCCACGACAAAATGGAAACATAGCGCCCACACCCATCCACCTTCCAAACAGCTTTGGTGTTGCATTCCCAATAAATCCACCAATATCTGGCCCTGAATATGGCTGTCCACTAAGCCCCTGGACACAAGCTCATTAATGTGGACTATAGGGTGGGAAAAACACTAAAAGTGGCAGCATTTTTTTTTAATTCAATGAAAGATTCAGTAAGGCTACTCTCCCAAGCATCTGTGCCGATAAAAGGTGAAAAATAAAATACAAATGTCATTATATCATAAGAAGAAAGGATAAGTACCAGTTATCTCCCTCTTCCATTAAAGTAATACTTAAATAAAAGCAAATATTTATGATTGTAGATTCTAAACACACGTCTGCACAGAAATTCATGCTCACACGTGTATGCACACGAGTATTAGCATATTCTTTCAAGTCCCTAGTGAGGCATGTCATTTGCAGAGCCTATTGTTCAAAAGGCTCGAGGCATGAAAAAAATGACGTTGATAAACAACACAAGCGACTAATCTAACATACTGTGTCTATAAGGGATATCCGCGATCTCCCTCAGGTGATCTCCTCCTACAATTTGGTCTCTTGCAACCATTAACAGCACAAGTATTCCTCAATGACAGATAGCATACAAGTACCACAAGGGGAAGCTGAAATGAACCACGTAAATTCCTCCAAAGTTGTAAATTATCTCAACTTTTAATTAGAGTCGATGTTAATTTGTTCTTTCACATCCCTTAGCTATGTGAATATTATCTGAGGTGCATTTCTTACTCATTTTGGCATTCCAAAGCTTTTTAAAGCGATATTTGTTATATATATCTATTAGCTCTCATCATTGAGGGTAAACACAAAGGTCCATATGATGGAGAATTAATACTATGTGAGCTAAAGATAAGAATTCCATAAAAATAGTCCATTATTAGGTTTGGTGATGTACTGTTGGAGGTAAATGAACCCAAGGTATAACTATTAATGACACCAAAAGAAAAAAGTTGAGTCCGGAACAGTGAAACATTGAAAACACGTCTCCTTTATGGTTTCTGAAGACATATTTCGCAATATCTTCCACTTACCAGATTAAGAACCATAGGGATACTCATATGAAGATGCTGCCAAGTAGACACGTTATCTCCTGTCCACGTAGCAGCATACCTTTGGCTACCCACAAACCCAGCTCGAGTAAGGACAAATGGACGTTTTTGTTCATTAGCTAGTTTCATGCCTTCATATGTTGATCTTGCCATCAGCATACCATAAACCTGAAATAAGAAACTGATATCAGTAATGAAAATTCATATATTATACATATGTGAAAGAAAATCATTAATTAGTAGATTATTTTTCATTTTCTCGTACTAAGCAAACTAAAAAGCTTCAGCTACGCTTATCAATTTCATGAGGAAAGTTGAAGTACTTAAAGAAGAGTCCAGGGCAAAGCAGTACATTGTGATAGTGTGAATGGTTCTGTTTGCCACCATAGTCTAGATCTCCCCTATGAATATTGCTCTCAGGCATTGTCTTCGTTTCAGTCTGCAACAAAATATGTTACACAAAACCAGGAAAGAAATTCACTTCTAACAAGGTTTGAACTTCACCTTTAAAAGAGCTGGTTCATTCATATCATTCCATAAACCATCCACGCCATTAGTAACGAAGTCCTTGACAAGACTACCCCACCATGAACGGGCTTCTGACATTGTGAAGTCGGGAAATACACAAGGCCCAGGCCACACCTCCCCTATAGATAGAAGCAAATAATATTAATGA